ACTACTTAAATTAGACACCAAAAGTGTACATGTGGCTAGTATGTACTCTCTAATGTAGGGGTCCCTAGAGAACCCTTTGCTATATATTCTTGAATAAAAAATCCTAGCTCCCAAGAGGGTAGACATTAAAAAAAAAAAAAATAAATAAATAAAATATTTATCGATCTTTTTTGTACAGACCTGATATTAAAGTTCTGCATATACTATGCCAGGTATATTAGACACCATGCCGGGCACTAGTACCTATGGCATACCATGCCATAGACACAAAGCCAGTCTAAAAAATTGTCTGAGGCACTTTAGTGCCATTATAAGAAAGTGCTCAGCACTTGTATAATAGTGTCTGGTACTTTAGATCTGGCTACATATCTAAGCCAAAAATAAAATTAGATACAAAATGTCTAGCATTATTAAGCCAAACAAAAAAATACCTGTGCCTTAAAATTTTTTGTTAGGTATGAACACATACCAGGCTTCAGATCCCTACTGATAATTATAATGCATTTTTATCTAATCAGAATATATTATGTATCATTTTATAATATATCACATATCTAACAACTTGACATGCTGCTATAGTATACAATAAAAATTTAAAGAATCTTTTAATCAAAGATATTCTTATACAATTCACAAATTATATATAGTTAGACCTCTAGATAATCACCAAGTTGGATGCATTCTAATATAGTGATTGTATAGAAGTGTGACTATAAACTAATATCAAATTAATATTATATGATCTTTAGCCAATTAATGATTAATTAGTAATTTATTAATCATGATTGTTCTACATTTAAAAGTTTTTTTTACTAAGTTAACCACCTTTAAATCTCTAAATAAAGTTGTAAAGCTTATTAAAACTAATCTAATAGTAGTTTAATCATCAAAATTGGCCTAGTACATTATGAGATATCTTTGAAAACATATTACTAACTATATATAAACAATAATATTGTTTATATAGAACTTTATATAGTCAGAAAAATGTTTTTTTAAGATATCTCATAATGTACTAGACTAATTTTAATAATTTAACTACTGTTAGATTTGTATTAATAAGCTCTACAACTTTATTTAAAGATTCAAAGGTAGTTAACTTAATATGAAAAAAACTTTTAAATGTAAGTATTTATATTTAAAATATTCTAATTTTTATATATAATCTTCTTGAATTAATTTTTTTTTTGATGTTAAGGTGACCTCTTAGTCATGTTTCTTTTATATAATTATAGTTATAATTTTTACAATATAATTATCATACTATATATATATTTAGAGAGTACAACTAGCCACATATACAACTTTTGGCTACCTATTTAAGTAGTCTGCTTATTATTAAGTTTTATACTAGATGTCATATCTATAACCCAACTAGAGAGTTGTCTATTTAAACCTTTTTCACCTATATAATTACTCTATTAACTAAGCGAAAATATTTTGTACCTTTTATTTTCAGATACCTTCTTAGGATTTTAAAACAGGCTCTAACCCTAGAGAGAGCTCTCTATCCTTGAAGCAAACCTGCTAGAGCCTTTTGTATCTACAATCTGGCTAATCTAGTTTTTAGTTGATATACATAGACTGAAGCCCACCACTTGCAGCTAGTTTTTATAGTTAAAGTATTCTCTGGCTATTTGTTCTTGTTAGTTTTTTGTACTATTTTAACTATACTATAGCCTGATTACCACTACACAACCTATTTTTGCTCTTATAAAGTTCACTAAAACTCTAATACTTCCTTTAAGTCTACCTGGTACCTTCTCTTTTCAGTATTGCCTTAGTTAATCTCTCCAAACTACCAATTTAGATAGCCCAGAAGGGACAGTAGTCCCTTAGTAACTGCATGCAGATTTTTTTCTTTAGTTAATGCTCTTGTAGCCTGGTTGGTAGGATACTTTTGCTTGATATCTGGTCCTCGTTCAGTTGTATTAATCTTAGGTGTATTCTATCCTGATAGTACTATTAAAGATCTTTGTTATCTCTTTATTTGGGACTTCCCAAGTAAATACTCTACTGTCATATCAGCTTTGTGATTTTCTGCAATCTCTTGTATTATTTTTTTGTTATGCAAATATTCTTAGATCTCCTAGTTGCTAATAAACTATTAATTGGTATAACCACAGTTACAGAGTCTTGAGTTTTCCTGACTATGACAATAGTTGCCGAATCTATTTTTCTTAATTCAATTTTCATCTTTAGTAGGAATTAAACTCATACTCAACCGCTTGGAGGTACAACAACTTTACCACTTTACTAAGTTACCACACCCTCTTCTTAGATTGATTAATAAATTATCAATTAATAAATTAGTGATTATGTAAAAGTTTTTTAATAAATTTGATTTAATATTTTAATTTTAAGGTAATAATAGTAATTATAGGTTATCTATTAGAATCCTAATACTCAAAATCCCAATACTCAAAATCCTGAAAACAAAATCCTAATTCACATAATTCCATTAAATTAAAATTCTGACACTATCAAAATCACAATATTCAAAATCTCAATATTAAAATCTTGAAATTATCAAAATCCCAACATTTAAAATCTCAATATTCAAATTTCTAACAATGTTAAAATCTTGACAATGTCAAAATCCTGACAATGTCAAAATCTTGACAATACCAGAATCCCAACAATGCCAGAATCCTAACAGTACCAGAATTTTGATACTATCAGGATTCAACAATACAGAATCCCAATTTTATTAGAATCTCAACAGTATCAGAATTCTGAAACTGCCAAAATCTTAAAAAATATAATATATAAAAAATAATAATTTAGCAGGAATTGCAATTGCAGATATCACCAAAGGTTCAAAAAGTTTACAATTGACAAACTTTATAAATAAAACTACAGATAACTTTGCACCTTTACCCACATCCATATCATCTATATCTCAGTCATCTTCACTCAATACAGATACAATAGTGGGTAGTATAATAGATTTCATCATTTTGTTAGCATGTTAGTAGCCATTAGCATTATATTAAAGAAGACACAAAGCAAAAATATCTAATTCTTTATAGATACAAATAATCAGACTTGCACTGATATAAATCCTCAAGTAGTTTACTCTAATATAAATTATTAGATTTTTTCAAATATAAATAATCGAATTTACTTAGATACAAATTATAAAGCTTTTTAATTATTAGTATGTTGAGAATATGCATACTTCAAAAGATTTATACTATTAAATAAGTGGCCAAAACAACATATGCAAAAAAACAGCAAACAAAATTTATACTTTGTTCTAATGTTGGATTAATTATTAAGTTACAGTAATATAATCGCTTAAATAAAGACTGACAGTTAAATTTCCAATATTTAGATTAGTATTTAGTATTACTCTACTCTAGCAATTCTATATTCTCTTAATTCTTTAAAATATATATCTTTCAAAGGAATTTGTATCATTTTTACTGACATTCACTTCACCAACATGCTATTTCGTTAACCATTAATTTACTGACAAGTTCATTTCACTTC